ACCGGGACAGGGCGGGGAGGGGGAGAAGGAGCCTCAGAATTTGACCCGGAGCCATCCGAATCAAGCGCCCAAAACTTATTAGCCCGGAGAGGGGCGATGTGACCAGAGCGAGAAGGGGAGACCAGAGAGGAGAGGGGAGCGGCACACGACGCCGGAGCGGAGCCCGGAGGAGTCCGCGGAGGGGAGGAAGGAGGGGAGGTCGCACGGGGCAGGGACGCCGCCGGGACGGAGCCAGAAGCAGGCGTCGCCACAGGGGGAGGGGGGAGAGGGGGGGAGAGGAGAGCCATCGCTTTGATATTCAACAATCCCATCCAAAAACCTGATTATAGATAATTTACTCTTTTTTAAGATATCAACAACTATCAATGTGCTAATGTCTTTCATTCTTCGTTTCTCTCCATAGAATTAGGTGATCTGACAAACCAACAATCAAATGTCGCGGGAGGAGAAGATTTGATCATGTTCATGGACACGATCATACGCCCCAAGCCAGCCAACCTGTGTATTTTAAGACTAGTTGTGGTAGTCAAAGTGTAACATATTGAAATTATTTCATGAAAAATTCTGAAGAGACATACACGGATATAATAAAAAGTTTGTAGGACCGAATGAAATAATCATAGACTCAATGTCAAGACAAAGCCTAAATGTATGAAATCCCAAAGATAATAGATGGACATGCCAAGTTGGTTTGTTCGCACACGTGATTTTGCCTATATTGGCCTCCGACGCTTTGCTCAATCGTCTCGACGAGCATGGTTATAATCATTTTCATCACAAAAAGAAACAATTATAATTATTTTTTAGTCACCTTCATTGCAGGGTCATACAATGCTTAATGACATGAGTAATAGTGTGAAGCAGAGTAATAAAACATGAGTGCAGTACATAATGGGACATGTCCCTAAATCTTCAAGAATTAATTACACCCGTGGTACATAAACTTGCAGCATGGTATGCCTGATTTTGAACACCTCGTAAAAGTGGTATAACAACTCCGGTTCGGGTCTGCAAGGGAATACAATTTTCACTCAACCCCATAAATCATGAACATGCATAATTGACTTGATAAAAACAGAAACCCTACTTTGTTTAGGTACAAAATCAACCTAGAGACGACACTTGGAGATATTTTAATCAAATCACCCTGCATACCCTTCTCTCTCTCGCACAAGTCTGTAACCCTATTATTTTCCCCCAAATTCAGCACATAAAACCGCCACTACACCGGCGTTTTCTGGCCACTGTTTCTTCAAACTCCTTGGTTTCAACAAGATTGTTCTGTTGAGACGAAGGCCTGGATGTAGCAATGGATTTTGCTCACGACGCGCTGTGGATGGATGTAGAAGAAAGTGGCGCTGATTTCTTCAAGGGCCGACTTTATTTAATATATGGTCTTTGACCTTTTCAAGAAAAAAAGTCTAGCACGAAGATGCGTGTAAGACCTAATTGACCAAGAAACATGGCAGCGCTACAAATATGCAATACACATAATTTAGCGATCAACTTGACAACTCGTGACGCGATCATGATCGTACAATGCGATTTTTTTCACACGTACACTAATACACAGGGTGATATTTCTTTTGTCGTGGATATACATAGTGTTATCTTGTTACTGGCTATCATGCCAATTGTATTTTGGAAAGATCCAGCAAATTGCTAGCTTGATTTAGATTTAGCAGGAAGTAACGAAACATAACATGATGAAAATCCGAAGATCAAAGAAAAAGAAAAACAGCAACCCTATTGGTTGCAGAACAACACTACACTCCATGAAACACCATCCAACCAGTACAAGGCAGCGCAACTTCGACTCTGATGGTCACGAGTCCCTCTGACCGGATCCACCTTCAGGACGATGCCCCAAGAGAGAAAGCGACGCCGAATAGCGCCACCATCGTCCGATCTAAACTAGATCAAGGGTTTTCCCCGGAGCACGTCGTGAAAGGCAAGGTGGGAGCTGCTACATCGATGCCTCCAACAAGGGAGCGGCACCGGAAGGCGCCGCCATCGACGACTCTGGCCATAACTGGAGTACGACTTTTGCCGACAGTCCCACCTACATAGCCTGAGCCCAGAATCCGATCAGCCTACACACCGACCACTACCTCTGCCTCCACGGCCAACCTCACCTCTTCGGCAAGCTCGACATGCTTCCAACCTTCCGTCCACATCCCCCACTGGACGAAGGATGCAACCCCCGCAGCAGCGCCATTCTTCTCCTATCGAAAGGATGCAACCAAGCAGGACGCCATTCGTCTTCTCGAGGATGCAACGCATGCGGGCCATTCATCTCCCGACGAAGGATGCAACAACCACCGCGACACCATTCCTCTTCCTCGAGCCACCACCATCTCGTCCTCCGCAGCAGCGTTGAGCTCACCAAACCACCAAACAGGAGGATGCAACATCAAGCAAGGTGCCATTAATCTCCCACAACTTCGTCCGCACGGCTAGCGGCGTCAACCACATCGCCACCCGAGCCGCCTCCAGACCCCTAGCCGCCAGGGCACCAGATCCGGCCGCACCCAGCTAGGGGCCGCCACGCAAACCGCTTGGGACAGTCACCTCCGGGCCTCCGGCCGCCCTAGCGCCAGATCCGGCCGGCGAGGCCTGTCAGATCCGGCCGCTCCAAGCCAGCCAAGGGACCCCAACACGCCCGCCGGATCCGCCGCTGCCCGCTGCATCACAGGCCACCAACTCGCCGGATCCGCCATACCGCCGCCAAGGGCGCCCGCTGCAGCAGCGAGCCACCCTACCCCCGTCGCGCACCGGTGACTGCGCCCGATCCGCGCAGCCCCGCTTCGCCTCCACGCCCCCGCGCCAGATCCGCGCACGACTCATCACGCCCGCGCCTGTAGCGTGCTATGGCATTCGAATGGGATATGTTCAGTATGCATACAGTAAACTAAGATCAAAGATCCCCTAGGGTAAAACTAAGAGCACAATATTTTTTCTCAAGAATGATTGAATGGTTAGAAAGACAGTGATATCCTTGGTCAATCATAGTTTAACTCCTGATGCTCGCATTTATGTCAGCTCAGTTTCTCGAAGGTGCTTTAATGTGCGTGTGTGCGTTTATAGAGATGAGTATTGTTACCCTAAAAAATGAGTGTATGTATTGCGTCTGATACTGTGTCAAGAAAAAAGAATGGACGACCAAACAGCCCTGAAAAATATGAAAATGAAAAGAAAAAGACCGGCGGAAAGCGGTCGCTTAACCACACCGCGCGGTGAAGCGACCCGATCGTCAGGCCTCGAAGCGCGCGTCGTGTGATATGAGAGCAGCGTCAGGCGCCAGCCCAAACCCACCACCGCAACCCCCACACGCGCTGCACGCCTGTGACACCCCTCGCCGCAGCATCATCGCCCCTGCAAGTGACCGCTGGCCGCGTGCGCCGTCCCGTCTCCTCCTCCCACGCCGGCCGCCGCCCCCCACAAACATTCCGCGCCGCGCACAGTCGAGGCTCCTGCGCCGCCCCTGCAACCCCGCGGGGAGGCGCCCGGTGCCGCTCGCTCGGCATTAAGCCCTGCGTCGCCATTTTATTAGAAAAAGAAACAGAGGAGGGAGCAACCGCTCGGTTTGGTTTGGTTTCGCGGCTCCCGGCTCCCGCTCGCGTCGCAGGGACCGAGGCGGCCACTGCAGGAGGAAGAACCCCGGTGAGGACAGCCGCTCTGCCCCCCTTCTCGCCACCCCCCTCCACAAAACCCATCCCCGAATCCCTGCTGCTGCGCAGTGGGGAGTTTCCCGTGCTGAAGTGGTCGGTTCTAGATTTCCTTTTGCTGCATTGGTTCTTCTCTTTCTTCTCTCCTCTTCGTACTAGCTAGTTCCGTCGATGTGCCTGTGGCAAGGGATCCGGCGTCCATTCAGTGCTAGATAACCATGGCAGCGGATCCGGCATTCCTTCTTCCCTGTTCTTGCTCCTGTTCCTGTAATGGGTGTGCAATTTCCATGGCAGCTACCTCATCTGGTGAGCTCCGTTAGGCCAGGCATCTTGAATACGGATTTAGGTTCTGTTGGTGTCCGCATTTGTGAAATTCAGTTATTCAGCTATCTGATAGAAAGAAAAAAAATCTCTGTCCATTCGTAAAATTCAGTTAGTCAGCTATCTTATACTGTATTTTCCCCTGGACATTCTTGAACTTCTTCGTGGTGGATTGCCGTGGCCGTTTGCTTGCAACCATATGGATCGGAGTAGTGCACTTGCATACTCTCTTGCTTCGCCTGGTGGCTGGAAATTCCGGGCAACGACTAGGACGCGTCCATTGTTCTTAGAGTCAAGTACTTCGACAGTGCCGAGTTTACATCTGGTGCAGCTTGTCAGATCTCCCCTGTAGTCCAGTTTCGGTACAGCTTTGTGTCCAATTGGGAGTCGGGACCTCATTCTCCATCCAATGCAATCCAGTCCAACGGTCGTACACCCTCACCGCGCCCCACCGCCATGTGCCTCCCAACCACCTCCCTCCCCCTCAAGTGAATTGCACTAGGAGACACATTACCTGTACTGAAATCTCTTGTTGCTGTTGGGCATTAATTTTGTTGGTTAGATGTGTCTTTTGGTGTGTGTTTTGCCTAGCTGTCCAGATCTCGAGGCTTGATAGAGAGTACTAGCTGTTTGATCCAGTTTCTTTTACACTTTTACGGCATGAACAATTGCTTCTTACTTATGGTAGTCGGTAACAAATGAGTTAGTCAAGTGAATGCCTTACTGAAATCCGCATTTTATGTTGAGTACAGTGGAGGTTACTTGTTTGCTCTGAAATTCTACTGCACTGTCTGCACAGGTCTACACAAACTTCACATTTTTTTTCAGTTAAAGCTCGTTATATGCAATCGTTTTCCATGTGCCCCTTGCCATGGCATAATCATCATGATGGCCCTTCCTGGATGTCACTTTCTCTATCATGCCTATTGCTCACTCAAGCTGCTAGGCATTTGCTCATGTTACTAACTTTGTTAATGTTCTGTCTAGGTATCAAGTTTCTAGTACACTCAAATGGGTGCTAGGGAGAACGGGGAAGAGAGAAATGACCAATCAACTGATGTGGAAGTGGAACGAGATGCTAAACTAGGGAAGGAAGCTGAATCAGACTATGAAGCAGCTAGAGACTCCTTTTCATCTCAAGGTGAGTCTAACAGCAATGAAGATACTAAAGCGAAAAGAGTCTCAAGGGTTCCGAAGAAGCTAGCAAAAAAGGACACCAAGCCAAACAGCCCACGTCTGGCCAGAACTAATTCCACTCGTCTAGTCAACAAGAAGCTGCAATATATTTCACCAAACAATAGTCCGAACAAAGCACCGAAGCCAAGCAAAGTGGCTAATGGTGTTAAAACTGTTGAAGTTCAAAGGCCAGAAACTGTGGAAGTTACTTCTTGTCCTTCATCTGATGTGTCTGAGGAAACAAATGATAAAGCTATTGAGGGCAGAGCCACCCATGATAAGTCCACCGAGGGCAGGGCCAATGATAATAAGACCACCGAGGGCAGGGCCGATGATAATAAGGCCACCGAGGGCACAACTGCTGATGATAAGGCCATTGAGGGTGTAGAGACTGATGATAAGGCCATTGAGGGCGTAGCGACTGATGATAAGGCCATTGAGGGCGTAGCGACTGATGATAAGGCCATTGAGGTTATAGCGACTGATGATAAGGGCGTTGAGGGTGTAGAGACCAGTGATACAGCCATTGAAGAAGCAAAGGAAATTGATGTCTTAGACGAAGCTCCGAAATGTGATCAGAGTACTGGCACTGATGATGAAATTGCTGATACTGAACAGAACATACTTGATGATGACAACTCAGTAGCATATGAGAAGAATGATGAGAAGATTGAGGAATTAGAATCAAAAATTGAAAAACTGGAGCAAGAGCTTCGTGAAGTTGCTGCCCTTGAGGTTTCTCTCTACTCTATTATGCCAGAGCATGGATGTTCATCACATAAGCTGCATACGCCAGCTCGGCGTCTGTCTAGGTTATATATCCATGCATCAAAGTTTTGGTCCCCAGATAAGAAAGCTTCTGTTGCAAAAAACTCTATTTCTGGGCTTGTGCTTGTAGCAAAGTCTTGTGGCAATGATGTTTCAAGGTAAATAAACGGGTCATAGTATGTCTTAACTTTATTCTGCACATGGCCGTGAGTATTAACTCCTGCTAATTTGATTTAAGAATCTAATTTTGATGTAGGTTGACATTCTGGTTATCGAACACAATTGTCCTACGAGAGATCATTGCACAAACCTTTGGCATTTCAAGCCAATCACCTGCAGTTATGAATGCTTTCACTACAAACAGAAACAGTAATGCAAAAAAGCTTTACAAGAATTCCCCGCCAATGCGATGGAAAATGAATTCCAGTGGCAAGCAGGCTAGACCTACTATCATGCAGTTTCCGGATGATTGGCAGCAAACTGGCACTGTCTTGGCTGCATTAGAGAAGATTGAATCTTGGATCTTTTCTCGGATTGTTGAGTCTGTGTGGTGGCAGGTAAGGTTCACCTCATTTTATCCTGGCAATTTTGTCAGAACCGTAAATTTGACCTGCTACTTGTAAAACATGACTAGGAAAATATTTCCAATACAGTATGTCAATATTCTGATCGGTATTTCTCTTCCTAGGCACTGACACCCCGAATGCAAACTCCTGTTGAGGATTCATCAACGCCAAGTGTTGAGAAACTGTTAGGGCATTCTTTGGCTGATCAGCATCAAACCACTTTTTCTATTGATCTTTGGAAGACTGCATTTTGTGATGTGTTCAGCAGAATATGCCCTCTTCGTGCTGGTGGACATGAGTGTGGCTGCTTACCAGTATTGGCCAAACTGGTAAGCTGTAAGTTTCCTTTCATCATTTGAAAAGAATAATATTCTTTTGAAACGTGTTTATGAGCTGTTCTGTTATCATCAGGTGATGGAGCAGTGTGTAGCCCGTTTAGACGTGGCTTTATTTAATGCCATCCTCCGTGAATCAGAGAATGAGATACCATCTGATCCAATATCCGATCCGATTCTTGACTCCAGGGTTCTGCCAATTCCAGCTGGCAACTTAAGCTTTGGATCAGGCGCACAGCTGAAGAATGCAGTATGTATCTAAATGCAGACTGAACCCACATTGTTTTGGTTTGATGCTTTCAATTCCACGAAGAACAAACTAGAATAGGGCATTTCGACGACCTTAGTTCACTCCTTCCAAACAAATTCTACCATTAAATGTTGACACGTGAAATGACTCCTCAGGTTGGAAGCTGGTCCAGATTGTTGACGGATATGTTTGGCATGGACGGTGATGACTCTCACAAGGATGGCCAAGGCGCAGGAGGAAATGGTGATGTAAGAAGAGATGGAGCTGAATCCAATTCTTTTAAGCTGCTCAATGAGTTGAGTGATCTTCTCATGCTCCCGAAGGACATGCTTCTTGAGAAGTCCATCAGGAAAGAGGTCTGTGACCGTGCATGACTCCCAAGATACAAGATGCTAAACTGTTATGATTTTATCTTCTATTTAACTATCAGATGTGGTGTAGTTGAAGTTTTGAATTTTGTGTCAGGTCTGCCCGTCGATTGGCCTTCCACTAGTAACAAGGATACTCTGCAACTTCACTCCGGACGAATTCTGCCCTGATCCTGTTCCTGGTTTAGTTCTGGAGGAGCTGAATTCTGAGGTATGGCCTCTCTTGCTGAAGTTGAACGAACCCCTTACATCGTAGCGCACACAAAATGTCATGGAGCACCATACTGAATTTTGTCACTCATGCCGCGCAGAGCTTGCTTGAGCGCTTCACAGAGAAAAATCTGATCAGCACATTCCCATGCACCGCTGCTGCCGTTGCGTACCGCGCCCCTTCATCGGAGGATGTAGCAGAGAAAGTGGCAAACACCAGTGGCACCGGAGAGGTGCATCAAAGGGCCTCGATGGTCCAGAGGAGGGGGTACACCAGCGACGACGACCTGGATGACCTAGGCTCCCCCTTGATGTCCCTCTACGATCGGAGCTCCCCGCCCTCGCCTTGTGATGGGGTCGCACATTTCAGTACTCGCCAAGAAGGCGCCGTGGCAAATGTAAGATACGAGCTCCTAAGAGAAGTATGGTCGGAGCGCCGTGATTGAGCGAGCGACCTGCAGGACTTGTTTGGCTGTTGCTTTGCGTAAAAGGGCGAACCAAGTGTTGGGGGCGTGAAGAATTTGCTTTTGCATCCGGCACCGAAGAATCAAAGAGGGATGATGGCTCCTCGCTGGTGTTGTTTCCTTTGCCCCCCTCAGATTTGTCCACTGCAGAATTTCTACCCTTCATTCGTTCGCCGGTGAGCTCGTTTGTTAGTTGCTTTTTCTTCTTCTCATGTACTAGCATACATAGTGGAAAATTGTAAGGAAAGGATGGTGAATTCGATCCTGGGTGTAAAATATTAATGCGAGTATGGACCTATCGGTGTAAGTAAAGGCTGGAAGAAGGGGAATATGATCCTGGCCTGGGTACCTCGCCTGTTCCTTGTGTGTTTGATCATGACTGTATCTCTCTTCCCCGACATTTTGCACCTCCGGTCACTGGTGTTGTGCGTGCCTGAGCTGTTTCCGCTTTTCTAGTCTGGCTCCCATCATTGGCGGTGGTGTCCAGCAGAGTAGAGCACAACAGCTGCCCTTTTGCATTTCTGAAGGGAATAGACACTAGCAGCCAGCAGGAGTGAGTGCTGTGCAAGGGATGGCGGTTTTAACGGCATACTCTGGTCGATTGAACGTTGGTAGTACAAGCAAACTGGACCCGTACCTGGACTGAACGGAGATGTCGTGTGCACCAGTTCTTGTGATGGCAAAGCCGGCTGGCACGCTGGCAGCAACGGAGAAATCGGGCGCAGGACCGATGCAGCCACCAGCCGGATCTTTGCAATCGGAGCATTCCTTAGTAGCACAACTGTTAGCAAGTTCATGGTTCGGTTCGGTTCCTTTGATCCGTAAAAATAAATAAGATCATGTCATCTAAACGATCTTATATTTCTTTATGGAGGGCAATCCATTGGTTTAGACTTTAGAGTTCCTAGTATTTTATGTTTTGTCACTGGCCCTTACGGTTTTCCGTAAAAATAAACGGTCGGCAACGCTTCTTCTTCGAATTAGTCTTCTGAATTTCGATCCTTCTAAAGTTTGTCTGTCTGAACGGAGTCGACGGAGCTCCAATATATATTCCTGGCACTCCTTAGGGTGGTGAGGACGTGATGTTGGGGTTTCTTGTCGTGTCTGCGCGATGACTAGTTCTGGTGTCACTTCAGATGGATTCAAGGCTTCAACGATCATGATTGTGGCTCCATGGCCCTGAGCCTTAGAGGCATGTGCATGAAAAATTTCTGGCTATCATCAACAAGGTCAGACCCACTCCATAGGTGAGTGACGCCGGCGGCCTAGCGATGATATTTGTCGTTTGGTGGTACATCATACCTGGCCATAAGTCAGGCCAGACCGGGCCTAAAAAGCCCGCAACAGAAAAGCTAGGTCTAGGCCTGGCCTCTGGGCCTAGATTTCAGGCCCAAGCCCGACCCGTTTGTGGAAAACCCTTCAGGCCTCTTCCCTAAAACACACAAATGCAAAGCCCAGGCCCGGCCCAACCTAGCCTTTCGGCTCAAAACTTAAGCCCATGCCCGACCTGTGGGCAAGACCGGGCCGGGACAGGTCGGGCTATTTCGGGTCGGGTCGCCCTGGCTGGGTTTTCCATGGCCAGGTATATGGTCCAGGGACCTCAATGTATTTTTTATCATGTTGGAGATGCTTTGTATTTTTGGTGAACCTCTACAATATATTTGGTTCATTTTCACAAAAAGGATTACCTATATTTTGCCTCAATTTTATTATGTGGGCGGAATTGCCTTCTAAATATGCAAGAGTAATTACTATGTTATTGCCTCTGTGTTTTTTTGTTGGCATTTTGGCAAAATTTGGCTTCAAAACTAAAGGTTTTTTTGGTTGAGGACCATCTTTTTACTTGCATTTGAATGATTAGGGTGGAAGATTTTTTTTAGGGTAGATTAGGGTGGAAGATGTTGCCGCATGACACTATTAAGTAGAAATGGTCCATCTAAGCCCAAGCCCAAGCCATGAAATCATGGTTTGTTGCCACTCTCTCTGTCACGCACGGGTCGGGAGACGCTAGCACACAAATTCGCTAACACGAGGTAATCAGCCAACTGGATTAAGGTGGCACCACTACATAGCAGCGTTATTTAGTGTTTAGTGATCAACATAGTATTATTTCTTGCAATGATCACATATATTCCCTCCGTTTTCATTTACTTCGCATATTAGATTTTACTGAAGTCAAACTTTGTAAAGTTTGATCAAGTTTATAGAAAACAATACAAACATTTACCATAGCAAATCTATATTATGTGAAAGTACATTTAATAATGAATCTAATGGTATTGATTTGTCATTGTATATGCTAATATTTTTGTTTATAAACTTTGTCAAAGTTTACAAAGCTTGATTTTGACCAAAGCTAATACGCGAATTAAATAAAAACGAAGGGAGTAAAAGGAACACTTTCGTGAAATATTCTTTTTTTGGCAATGAGTGTGCCGTATAAAACTAGTCCATCATTTGAAAAATAGTTGTTTGAGGTTAAGACTTTTATTGTACATGGAAAACCCCAATGAACCCAACATGGCAAGTATGACACATCACAGAGGCTTATTATCCGGCCAATGCTGAGCCATCGCAAGACTGTGTGCGCCGCCCCCGACGCGACCTGGCGATCCATCCATTGAAAGTCAGATCGATTTATTCCGCTGCAGCCGTGATCCACCGAGTCCGACTGGAGATCTATTTGCGCTGTTGTGTCACCCTGAAAAGCAATGGCGGAGCCAGGGGTCTTCCTGGGAATTCCCTGGAATACCAAAGATTTTCGTGCAAAAAAAATTACTACATGTATTTTACAGTATAAAGCGAGTTGACTGGAGTTGGCTCATTAGCCCAAACGCACCACGACAGCCACGCACGGTGCCAGACGGGTGTCTGGTTTGGCGCGCGACCAGCCGAGCGCCCGAGCACCTCGTCTCCGTCCCTCGATTCCCAATTGAATCGATCCCCTTTCCCAACCTAGCGCTAGGGCTGGCTCCGGCGGCCGACCTCTCCTGCCTCTCCCTCGGCCCCTTCCCTCCAGTCGGCCGTCTCCCTCCCCTTCGGCGTCCAGTCCTCTCCTCCGTGGTTCCGTCAGGCGTCGGGCCGCCAATCCGCCTCCGGCCTCCCCTGCTCCCCAGTGCGGCGGCAGTCGGCAGCTCCCTCCGGACACCGTCCTCGAGCCTCCCTGGCTCGGCGGCTCCCCGGCGTGGCGGCAGCGCCTTCAGCAGGCAGCAGACGAGCAGTCCGGCCTCCCTCCATTCTGCAATCTGCATCCATCCACACAGTACTGCATCTATTCTTTCCCTCTGTTTCTAAACAAATCTGAAGATTGTTCAGTGATTGCTTGTAAACTGAACTTCAACTTGATTCATTTGCTGCTTACGATGAAGATGTTTGTCCAATGTACATCAGTCCATGCCAAATTGCCACTGCCATTGGTTTCTACTTTGTTTATGTGATTGTGATGTAGATGAAGAAGAAGGATGTTAGCATATTTGAAATGTGGGACAGATCTTGAAAGACAAGCAAAGTAACTTCTACATCCACACCAACTCCATTGAGGTTGAGAGCAATCTGCAGCTAGCACTAGTGCAAACACCCCGACCCCAATTGTAGAAGACGATGAAGCGGTTGATGAAGATGATGAATCAATGCCCCAATTTGAAGCAGATTTGGCAGCTCTGAAACGTGATCCTGGCAAGCGACTTCCCATATATTTGTATCATGCCAATGATCAGGATAGAGTTCGAAGAAGATACATTGACTTGGCTGCTTGTCAACCAAAGGATCATAAGTTTGAGATCAGAAATTTAGTGGACATCCTTGTCCCTTTTGCCCTACTTGGTTTAAGGATCATAAGTGGCTTGAGGATTTCCTGGCAAAAAAAATTACAAGAATACCCAGGAGCAATTTCCTGGCTCCGCCACTGCTGAAAAGGCGTGCACTTGTCCGATCCGCCGAGACGAAGGGTGGTCTCCTTGCTCCTGTATAAAGCGCCAGGAACGGAGCCACTTCAAATCCCGAGGGATTCATCCACTGCTGCTACCTTTTTCCTTGACATGAAGCCGATCAAGTACTGGTACTACCAGCACTAGTACGTGACGAAGACTAGTACTAATTGAGTACTAGATCAGATATTCAACTGATATTCAACTTCTTCTGCTACGTCCACACCCAGCGTCTATCCAGTTTTATCGACTCATGGCATCCATGAAGTACGATCTTCCGTTGCTGGACCGTGACACAAGGTTTACCCTATGGCAAGTCAAGATGCGGGCGTTGTTGGCACAGTCCGATTATGATGTAGCACTGGATAGTTTTGGAAAGAACAGAATTCAGGAATGGACTGATGAGGAGAAAAGAATTGATCGTAAGGCTTTGTCAAAAATTCAACTCCATTTGCATAATAATATTTTGTAGGAAGTTTTGAGCGAGAAAACTGCCGCCGCTCTATGGTTAAAGCTGGAAGGGATTTGCATGACTAAAGATCTCACCAGCAAGATGCATCTGAAGCAAAAATTATTCCTGCACAGGTTACCCGAGGGAGGTAATGTTTTGAATCATATTTCAGAATTTAAAGAGATCATATCTGATCTAGCTGCAATGGAGGTTAAGTATGAAGAGGAAGATACTGCTTTAATGTTACTTTGTTCACTGCCGAGTTCTTATACCAATTTTCGAGACACCATATTATACAGTCGTGATACTCTCACACTTAATGAAGTTTATGAAGCTTTGAACTCTAAGGAGAAGATGAAACTAATGGTGCCTCATGATGGTTCAAGTTCATCCCAAGCAGAGGGATTATCTGTTCGTGGCAGGACAAAGGAGAAGAACTCCAATAATGGAAACAAAGGCAAAAGTAAGAACGGCCACATGGGCCGGTCGCAATCCAGAGACAAGAAGTATTGCAGATATTGCAGGAGAGACGGGCATGACATCTCAGAGTGTTTCAAGTTGCAGAATAAAGAAAAGAGGAAAGGTAACAAACAAGGTGAAAATTC